ATTTCCTTTAGTTTGGCTGGAATAAAACATAATATGAAATATAAATAGCTAATAATTTTGTTTACACATAATTTATGACTACTAGAATTTAACAAACTAATCTAATTTTAGTGAAAAATTTAGCGAATCTCCTGTTCCACCACAACCCAAAGGTGCTCTATTGGATTAAGATCTGGTGATTGTGGAGGCCATTTGAGTACAGTGAACTCATTGTCATGTTCAAGAAACCAGTCTGAGCTGTGGCATTGACACAATGCTGAGTTGGTACTAATGGGCCCAAAGTGTGCCAAGAAAATATAATACGCCACCATCACCAGCCTAAACCGTTGATACAAGGCAGGATGGATATATGCTTTCATGTTGTTGACGTCAAATTCTGCCCTACCAACTGAATGTTGCAGCAGAAATTGAGACTTATCAGACCAGGCAACGTTTCTCCAATCTTCTATTGTCCAGTTTGCTGCTGTGGCCCATTCACCTCAAGGTTGGACGTGGTGATGTGTGTTCAGAGATGCTCTTCTCGGTTGTATCGAGTGGTTATTTGAGTTACTATTGTCTTTCCATCAGACCATTCTCTGTAAACCCTAGAGCTGGTTGTGCGTGAAAATCCCAGTAGATCAGCAGTTTCTGAAATACTCAGACCAGCCCGTCTGGCACCAACAACCATGCCACGTTCAAAGTCACTTAAATCAACTTTCTTCCCCATTCTGATGCTTGGTTTGAACTGCAGTAGATTTTTTTGACCATGTCTACACGCCTAAATGCACTGAGTTGCTGCCATGTGATTGGCTAATTAGAAATTTGCGTTAACAAGCAGTTGAACAGGTGTACCTAATAAAGTGGCCAGTGAGTGTGTATGCATGTGTGTGTGTGTGTGTGTGTGTGTGTGTGTGTGTATATATATATATATATATGTGTGTGTGTGTGTGTGTGTGTGTGTGTGTGTGTATATAGTTAGAATTTTCTGCTCTTTAAAATTGTTCAAAAGCAATCGCTAATTTCGACAGTTTTGCTAAAATACCGACGTTAGTTCAGTTTTATGTATATCATTACACATGTGACATTCAGAAAGGTGTTTAAATGATGTGTTGTGTTTGCCAGATCTTCCACATGACCTATGACCTGGCCAGTGCAGTGATGCGGATCTTCAACCTCATCGCCATGATGCTGCTGCTGTGTCACTGGGACGGGTGTCTGCAGTTTCTGGTGCCCATGCTGCAAGATTTCCCCTCCGACTGCTGGGTTTCCCTCAACAAGATGGTGGTAAGCTCTTCATTTTTTTACTTGCACATGAAAAAAAAAATGCAGTTTTGGTTTTACTGGATCTGAGCTCTGCTTTTGATACAGTTGATCATACCAACCTTCTGTCACGTCTGGAACATTGGGTGGGCATAAAGGGTTCAGCACTTCAATGGTTTCAGTCATATCTGAAATCCAGGTCTTTTTCAGTTTCTGTTGGCCAATTTATGGCAACATCTGCCCCTCTTCTGTGTGGTGTCCCCCAGGGCTCTATTCTGGGTCCAATGCTCTTCAATTTATATATGCTTCCTCTTGGTAATATTATAAGGAAACATAACATCTCTTTTGATTTTTATGCAGATGACTCTAAGGTGTACGTTCCCTTAAAATCTCAGAACTCCCTGCAGTCTCTAAATAATTGTCTTGAGGATATTAAATGTTGGATGGCGAAAAACTTCCTTCAACTTAATAATGACAAAACTGAGGTTATTATCTTCTGCCCCTCAAAAACAAGAATGTCTTATATTGGGGGCTTGGGAAGTCTTACACCGTATGTTAAATCGCAAGTAAAAAATCTAGGAGTTTTCTTTGATTCTGAGCTTTGTCTAGAAAAACAAATTAGCTCAGTGGTTAAGAATAGTTATTATCAGCTGAGGATCATCTCCAGACTCAAATCCATTCTTTCCTTTCAAGATCTGGAAAAGTTCATACATGCTTTTTTCACGTCCCGCCTAGACTATTGCCATTCCTTATATGTTGGTCTCCCTCAATCCTCATTGGCACGCTTGGTTGTTGGCAGTTGGTTTAAAATGCGGCAGCTAGACTTTTAACAGGCACCAAAAGACATGTTCATATCTCACCAGTTTTAGCATCCCTTCATTGGCTTCTTGTTAAACTGTTAGAATTCAGTTTAAGATACTTATTGTTTTTAAAGCACTGAATGGGCAAGCATCTTCTTATATATCAGAGCTGATTAACTTACAGTCAACTTCTCTGTCTCTTAGGTCCTCAAATAAAATTTTACTGCAAATTCCTTGGTCACGACTTAAATTGAAAGGAGATAGAGCCTTTGCAGTCGCTGCTCCTCGTTTGTGGAACCAGCTGCCACCGGATATTACGAGTGCTTCTTCTCTTTCTATTTTTAAGTTCAGACTTAAGACACATTTTTATTCTATTGCATTCCCAGGCTTTTAATCTTTATTGTGGTTGGTTGCTGTAATACTTTTATTCCTATTATTACTT